TATGATGAGGACGAGCTGCTGCACGCGAAACTCGATATCCTCAGCAAGACGAACATGATCGACTACACCATCGACATTAGAAAGCAGCTGTATCCCAATGTGGAAGTACCGGAGGTACGTTTCTCTACGTAACGTGTATGCCACTGTTGCGTGATTGCGAGACGAATGTTATAGATTTAGTTCACATCATAGAACGGTATTCATAGTCGGTACTTATATTTAAGATCGTCTTATGGCTCGTCTACAATAACCGTAAGACATAAACAGTAAGTTATTGACCACAGTCGATTATTCCTGTAAAAATCCATTAGTCAATAGCTTACTGCTTATGTCTTACTGCATGCTTCCTTACAAGCCAGTATTCTAAGGGTAGGTTTAAGCTCACAATTCTATTTAGCGCTTACATGTTCTTCATAGAATCATTTCATCCTTGTTTAGCAAATGTTAAACAAGGACAAACAAAGTACAAATGGAACCTATCATAGTTAGATTATATATATATATATATAAGATCAGAGCCATATTAGCATCTCAAGACATTACTTAAGACAGTCTTGAAATAAGAACAGACTATGAATACTAGCCAATAGATCCAGATTGTGCATTTTACACAATAAATTAATGATAGCGATATTACTGGTTGCAGGAGATAAAATCCAGACGTGCCGATGTGTTGCAAGAGCTTGGCGTACTCCAGAACAATGTCTCGGTAGTGCTGGCTCTTATGAACAACGAGGAAATTATGAAGAAGATGGAGAACATGCGCGACTCCAAAGCACTTAATAATTACCTCACTCAAGAATCAGATGTAAGTGGTATTGTTATTACTACATTAGATAATGGAATATTTGACCTGGTATTCTAAGACATTATGAGTGTACACATTTTTTTATTGGTTTTGTCTTTACAGTTTAGGGTAGAGATGATGGATAGCTTTGTGAAGCTGGCTAAGTATCGCTACGAGTGTGGCAATTATTCCGTTTCGACGTCATATTTGTACTTCTATATGCTGATTATGTCCCCTACCGATAAGGTTCTGCCAATTTTTAATAAATTATGAAAATCAAGTACAATATGTTTTATAAAATTATCTAACATTTATATCTAATTTCCAGAACTATTTAAATGTCTTATGGGGAAAATTGGCATCAGAGATTCTTGTACAAAATTGGGAAACGGCACTGGAGGACGTGAACAAGTTGCGAGAGTATATCGACAGTAATGTTATCGGTAATTCGCTGCAAGTATTACAGCAACGCACATGGCTCATTCATTGGAGTCTATTTGTGTTCTTTAATCATGTGAAGGGAAGAGATCTCATTATTGAGATGTTCCTCTACCGGCCACAGTACGTACGATTCCTTAAGAAAGTATATTTAATGGTATTTACGAAAATTAGAGAAATTATAATGTGTATATATTTTTACAGTTATTTAAATGCTATTCAAACTATGTGCCCGCATATACTTCGTTATTTGGCTGCGGCAGTTATCGTCAATCGTTCTAGGCGGTCTATTCTGAAGGATCTCGTGAAAGTGATACAACAGGTCGAATTTTAAAAAACGTCGCTTTGAAAGGCATAAAAATTCGTACGAGGTTTCTTGATTGACAGTAACAGTGACAAATATTAATCCAATCTAAGTAGAGAATCTTAAAGATGGCGAATATATGTATTCATGAAGTTTTACTAAGAAAATAATAGTTTAAATTTGTCAAGAAAAAGAAATTGTGTGATTTTTTATGCCGTATATTAATGAAATGAAATTCTATACGTGTCATTTTTAAAAATTTTTATGTGTAGGAATCTTATACTTATCGAGATCCCATCACAGAGTTTCTGGAACATTTGTATGTTAATTTTGACTTTGATGGAGCTCGGCAAAAATTGCAAGAGTGCCAGACTGTCGTCTTCAATGACTTCTTTTTAATCGCTCTGCTGAATGAATTTGTAGAGAATGCACGATTGATGATTTTCGAAACGTTCTGCAGAATTCATCAATGCATTAGTATCCAGTGCGTAATTTTTACAATAATTTTCATGATTGTAAAAAAAGGTTAATTAATCATTTATGCTCGGTATTTGTCAGTTACTCTTACATTATTTTTGCATTATTTATAGGATGCTTGCGGAGAAACTGAATATGAAGGCGGATGTTGCGGAATGCTGGATTGTGAACTTAATCCGTAATGCACGTTTGGACGCTAAAATCGACAGTAAGTTGGGACACGTAGTAATGGGAGGACAGCCAGCGTCCCCATATCAACAATTGGTTGAGAAGATTGAGACTCTGAGTGTGCGAAGCGAGGCACTAGAGAATCTAATTGAGAGAAAATTAAAAGCGAAAAATCAAGACCCAGTAAGTATAGTGTGGAACTAACAGAGGTCAGTATCATTCACAATTATATTGCGCGTATAATATCACATTTGATTTACTTAATGCATAACACATGGCAGTAGACATCAGAAAAGTAAAAGTAAAGTTATGCATATTATATAGACGCTAATGTCAAGTAACTGTACACACTGTATAATAATAATAATAATAATAATAATTCGTCCAATTTGCGTCTAATTATATTTAACATTAAATTCGATTTTTGTACGTTTTAATATATTTTAACATTTATCCATCTGTTAACTTATTGTTTTTGTCAATTGCGCTACAACTGAAGCGTTTTAGTTTTTTTCGTATTGTTTTGCCATTACATGTAATAGTTATAAAAACGTGACGTTTTGTAAAATGTACTTTTCTTGAATATAAATTTTAAAGACAATTCACTTTTATTTCAGTATCAACATTCGTGGAATTTGGATATGTGACAACTCGATACAACGTGGAGAAGTAATGCCCAAAAGAGATATTCCACCTCCGATTATTAACAGTAATAATTAACAGTAAAAGTACAGGCTTTTGACGCAATGTACCTTTTAAAAGAAATAATGGAAATTGCATCGTGACATTACATCATGAAACCAGATGTATTTTTATTCGCTGGTACTGTCAGTATCTTGTAACTGTCAAATAATACTATAACAAATAATAAGCGACCAATAACATTTTATAAAACATATCACATTTATTTATTGTTTATACTATCCGTATCTCCATAAATCACATTTTTAGTTTGACTAGAAACCATTATTGGGCTATCCTGTCAAATATTATGTCAACAAAAAGTTTCGGAAAATAAAAAAGAAATTAGATATTTTATTTAGGCCTAGTTTTCATTTGAAGGTAAAATCTAATTAGGTTACTTTTACTTGAAAATTAACTTTTATTGCTTGTTGGTTAATCAACCTTCAATAAACCTTTACCCTGCTTTACCCATCAAAAAATTTCTGATGGTGGTATTAAATCAGAAAAAGACTATAGTTCACGTAATATAGATGCCTAAACTTCACGCAACGTTTACTATAGATAAATACAATAAATCAAGAATAATGTTGAAAATAATGTTTCGATTTTAATCCTCCGTCTGTATACGTGGGTCTACGACGTTTGAGCCAAAATGATATCGGCTCGTAACTAACTGTAAAACTTGCAAGTCTGCCGAATATTAAATAAACGATGTTTATCAAAATGAATAAAATCGTCAACTACAATGTAGACAGACAATTTACCCACGTATACACTCCGAGGGTTGAAGGAAAAAAAAACCGTAATAGCAGAAATAATTACAAAGTATTTGTTACATATAGTATTACATATAAGCTAAGATCATTACTACGAGAGCACGAAAAAAAATTTGACCACGAAAATGCAAGTAATGGATAACGAGGATATTGATATCCTTTTACTGTAGAGAATTATGATGTTAACAAGTCGATTTATCTTGAAATATCAATCAGTTCGGGCTAGCTATTGCGATTAGCAAAAAAATATTAATATTAATTTATATACAATGTTCTGTCTTTCGACTGTCGCCTTTGATAGTCAAAATTTAGAAAAGAAATCAAAATTATCTAATTCATTACAATAATTCGATCTACGCTGAAATATTTTACGTCTTTTCATAAATTCTTCATTACTGTTATAAAAAGTTTACATCAAAATTATCGAAATACATGTTGATTAACAATACGCACAAACCTTAAATTCTATTTACTTTTCTATTTACTATTCTCTATTTACTCAGCATAAAATAACTATAGACAGGTTATGAGCTTCTAGTAAAGATAAAACTAGGCTGCGTTCCAATTCACTGCCAGTACTAAAAATCTGTAGTATACGTGACTTAAACTATAGATTTTCAGTATTGGCAGTGAATATCGAAACGCAGTCCTAGAAGTTGAATTTTCTGATAGTAAAAGTTAGCACTAAGAAACTATTAGCTTAGTAATTAACCATGAATTAAACAACACAATTTTTATTTTAAAATTTAGATTAAGTCTAAGCTACAAGTTAATCAAAAAATGAAAAACTGGGCCTAAAAAGGAATTCTATAGTTTCTATTTGTTACAAGTTGATAGCTCGGTTGTAAAACGTGCAAGGGGGAATTGTTGTTCAATGTTATGTTATATATTAGTTTTAATATAAAATATTATAATTATTTATTATATTATAAATACAATTATAGTTATAATATAATAATTATAATTATAAATGTCTCAATATTATTTAAGTTACAAGTTAGTATTCAAGTTGCAACTTATGCGATTACGAGACATTTATATTTTGGAAATCCGTTATATACGAAGGTAAAAAATTGCATCCCGTGTATCCACCATGATTGATACAATATGTCAGAACGCTCCTCCAATACGGATCCAAACTGAGTACTCTCGGATTTCCCAAGATAATGAGTAGAGCGCGAGCACGAGTGATCGCGACGTTGAGTCTTCTGGGCGAAGCGACAAAGCCTAGAGCGTGCTTGACATCTTCTTCAATTAGATTCTTGCACGATCTGACAGTCGAAATAATGATTACCTTCCTTTCTTGTCCTTGAAATCCTTCTACACTGCTGATTTTTGGCAAATTAAGATCTAACTCCAACAGCATATCTCGGATTTTTTGTACCTAATTTAGAAAAATGTTTTTCATAAAAAAGAAAGGAAGAAATTGTCTTTTAGTATAAAGTGTAGAATTTTATTTAAAATAGGCGTATATACCTGTTTGAGATAAGGGGTTATAACTCCTATATCATTTGGCTTAAGCCCGGATTTATATAACTTCCTCAAATAGAGATACACTTGCGTCGCTTCTGCGGGATTGTACCAGCTTGGACTCTCGGGATCTTGGTAGTTATCACCATTGACCCCATGGAAGATTACGGCCGATGGCAATCCATCTCTCTTGGGCAGTTCTGTTTCCAGCGTTTCCAATAGTTTAGCTTCGTCACTGTTCTCAGATGATATCTAAATATAGCAAACAAACAAATTGTAGTCAGACAAAATTCCAAGCTTAGCATAATAACAATAGTTATACATACCTGTGGTTGTAATTCCGATTCATAAAACATTGAGTTTGGTAGATCCAATATCTCTGGTAAACTCCGATAGTTCATTATAAGTTTCGTAACAAGTCTGGGGTCATAGCCGGTTTCATATCCTTCCAGGTCTTTCTGGTAAGGAAATTGATGTAAAAGTCTCGATAGGAATGATTCGCCGAATCCGAAATTCATCGACAGTTTGCTCTGCACGACAGGCCCAAGTTGCATTGGGTCGCCCGCGAGTATCACTTGACCATGATCGGAATGAATGTAATTCAAGGGAATCATAATCTCTGGCTCGGTCGCTTGACCCGCCTCGTCGATTAGAACGTGCGAGAAATGACCACGAGAAAAGCCCATATTGTACAATATTCCTAACGATGTGCAGGTGCCGATGGTAATTCTATGGCGACCCAGTACGGACATGGTACAGTTCACTCTCACTCCGTTCTCGTGTTGATAGAAGCGATCGGACGTTCCTTCCGCAGCTAATTCTGCCGTAGCACAGTAAGGTAACAGTTTCTCGGGAATAGAGTCACTGTCCAAGTAATGATGAGCTATCAGTCGAACCTATGGCATGTACATATAATGAATAAATACAGTGAAACTGGGACTATTTAATAATTTACGATTTGGCCTAACTTTTTTATGATTTGTATTTATTACCGAATATACGAATATACAGTTAATTTATATAAAATTGTTGTTAGTGTTCATGAATCACGAAAGAATCTATAGAAGAGTAAAACATACCAAATCGCCTGGCTTAAGGATATTACTGTCCAACAAGCGTTCCGCTATTAAGTTTGCCGAGCTATTCGACGGTGTTGCTATGAGAAGCCTGCTTTCCGGAATCACGGTCAAAAGTTGTAAGATCGTCTCGCACATAGTCATTGTCTTCCCTGTTCCAGGCGGGCCAAATATAACGTAGGGTAACGGGCGTGCTAATCCCAATATTATATTCCTCACAGCTTCTTTTTGATAATAATTCAGTTCTTTATTGAACCAATTTAATTTCCGTTTTTTTATTTGAGTGATATATGGTTGTAGTTTATCATTAGTGTGAGCGATCGGTCCATTTGGCGTCCTTGAAACCATGGCAGCGTTAGTCTTACTCCCGTTGGCATTCCTTGCCAAATTCGTTTTAAAACTTTGATTTATTTCTGATCTTGTAGCCGACGTCGTTGTACGTTCAAATGACGATTCAGCAGGCTTAGAATTGAAAAGTCTATTTGCTACCGATATTCTTGTAGAGACTTTGGTATTATTAGAGGTTGTATCGCTGACCGAAGTGACAGAGGAACTGGAACTGTTAGAAGATACAGATTTATGTCTGTGATGAACTTGCATGTGAGTGGGTTTCTCTTCGGCCTCATGCTCTTCCTCTAAATGGAACTGTGGCTCTTTTTGCACTACTTTGGTAGGAAACAGAAAATCAGGTCCAAGACGGTTGAGAGCTAAATTAACAGCATTGTGAGAACGTTGAATAGTGGGATACGAGCATTTAAATATCACTCGACAACTCTCACCACTGTATTCGTGATGAAACCTTTCGTTAAATTTTAAAAAGACCTCCATGCTTCTGACTTTGTGAATAAAGCCCTCATATTTTAGATCGCCTGTTACAAAGCAAATAAAAAATCAATAATTATTTAATTATCATCTCAACGTACCAAAATTAGTTTTAAAACTACATTTTTATCTTTCAGTAATATAATAATCATATGCATAATATCAAAACATGTTTTTCAGCTTTTTCCTTACAAATCTTACCTTGAGATTTATCCCATTGAAAAGATACTATAGCTCTATCACCGACAAGGAGAGAAGGCCGTCTTTCTGATAATCCTGGCACTTCTAGCGCAAGATAATCACCGCATCGTCGCAAGACTACATTTTCCATGTTATATTTTTGCAAAGCGAGTATTACAGATACCTCTTCTAGATACAACAAGTTGTGGAAACGTTCCTTATACGTCTCGAAAGAAAGCGGTTTTAGGAGACAAGGTATCTGATCTCCAATAGCGATCTCTAATTCCGCCTGTGTTCCTTTACTCTGTATATTATCCCACATTATGTTCCAAACGTATCGTGGTATTCTGAACACGCCACTTTTCACTTTGATAAATTTAGGCGCTTTACTTGGTTTTACCCCAGGAATACATGTAACTTCAATTAACTCATTCAAATCAGGTACATTAATATTTTCCTTCTTTTGTATAATAGATGCAGAATCAGTCTTTTGTGATATGTTCTTTGCATCGACAGTTATGTGAAACACTCTAGCTATCTTAAAGTCTTTGAAATTAAAGGTAAATAGCTCCTCGGACGTGCCGACAAATTTCGCTTTGCATTTGAATGTATAACCAACACTTTCGGAAGGATTTACTACTATGCCGATATCTGTATTTGTCGGTGACACTAGTGACAACTGAGATGGGGTCTTCTGTGGCGTAAAAGAGCCACTTTGCAACAAATGAGCATAACTGCCGTTATTTCGTATCGAAACTGTCAAGGTACTCTCCTCTCCTACGTTCAAATTAAATTTTAATTCGTCGTCTATGATAATACCATATTTGTTTTTTAGTAAGTCGCCGGAATCTAATATGGAAGGAACACTGTTTACGGCTGGTAACTCAACGGATTTCTTTGGAGTCTAAAACAAAAATATAAATCATAAATATTGTGAAATTTATTACATATTGGTATCAAAACTGGCAAAATAACTAAATGTTATTTAATTCTTGCCTGAACTAATGGCACTACGGTCAACGATCTCCAGTTGTACTGTCCTTGATCGCTTTCTATGCTGTCGCTGCATACTTTGTCACCTACGCAGGGAATGTAACCCACATCACACACGCGCTTATGAAAAATTACATTCCCATCAATTACTCCCACTTCGCTGTTTGGATTGTACTTTGATATCACGCCAAAGTCCAGCTTAGATCGTAACGATTTAATCCTATCGACTTCCAAGACTTCGCCAATCAAATCCGTAGAGCTGTTGTTTAGTTCGACCACGCATTCCAATGTCAGCCAATCACCAATTACGGGAATGAAGTCGGATCGTACTTTGCACAAGTCAATGCGAATATTGTTTGGCTCGACAATGGCGATTCGGCCTTCACGTTTTGTCACTTTGCCAACTATACTCCTCAGTATCGCTTGAGTGTGGGCATTTTCCTCCGATTTGACATTTGCGTTTTCCCAGCCGTCGTCTATCACGCAGATAATTTTACGTACTTTCGGCTCCGCCTTTGGATCCCGTAGATATAGCAAGTACTGAATTTTATCAGCTATTTTTAGATTCTCGGTTGAGCTATCGATCTTTTCGTACATATAGCAATCATCTATGAGAACGTAACTCTCGGTGACTTGAGTGACAGTTCCCGTCCTGTAGTAACATCCTTCTTCATTCAGTTCTTCCGCTTGGTTGGCAGTTTCATCCGCGTTGGTCTCCTTAGCATCCTCTATACGAGATATGACTTTATCTATGTCTTCCTCTGCAGTTTGATTATCCGAGTGCACGTAGCTTGCAGCATATTGAAGTCCTTTAACGATTAACGACAGCATCTTCAATTTCTCTGGCTCCTATCTAAGTATCTAAAAAAAAAGTTGAAATATTTAAGGCAACTTACTTTTAATATTAAACGATATCAGGATATCGAGCAGTCAACGGAGATGGAGAACATGAATGACATTTACCGATCTATAGGCTGATATCGCCACTCCGTCGCCTTAAGATAATCCAGTTCCTTTCGCAAGGATTGTACGCGTTTTGCGTGTAGTTCCTTGAGGAATCGTTTACGTTGCTTCTGCTCCTGCAACTCGGATTTCATCTGATTCAGGATCTTGGATGTTTGAGTCGCGCTGGAGGTTAACTCCGAGTCTTGAGATTCTGGCGTTCTCTGTCCCGTCGAGTGTCCTAGAGTGCTCGTCGACAAGGTGGACGAATTCATAATTTAGTATGCGCGTCCTGAAATAACCGGTCACGTTCGTATCATTCGTATGCGTCTTCATGGCACTCCATGCCACTCTATTCATTGACAACACCGAACACCTATGTCCCCTACCTATTTGTCGTCGTCGAGCAGCAGCCCGGGAACCGGGAACGGCGGGAACTATCCGGGACGCACTCCCGGGAATGCGTTCCGAAACTCATCGATAAGAGACGCTTCTCTTACCGTAATGTGTCCTCACGTCATTGGTCGATCGATGATATATATGTATATCGATGTATGATATATGTCACGGTTACATATTTAAATTTGAATTGACAAATTTTTTGGGTCCATTTCTACCCCAATGTGGATTAATTAACTTTAATTTCTTAGAAAATTAAAAAAAGATATAACGTAAACGTAAAGTTAAACCGAGATTAACGGTTAAAATCTACATTAGTAGAAATAGACATTAATAAAAAATTTTCTAAAAGCTAGAAAAAGATAAAGAGTAAGTTAAATCGAGATTAAAAAGTTAATTTATATATTGGTAGAAATGAACATTATCATGAACACATTATGTGTAAAAAATTTTCTAGAAATTAGAAAAAAATACACAAATAAGTTAAACCGAGATTAAAGTTAGTCTACATTGGTAGAAATAAATACGTACTTTTTAATAAATTAGTATTTTAATAAATTTATTTTAATAATTTAATACTTTAATAATTTTTTTTAAATACAAAATTTCAGAGAGAGAGAGAGAGAGAGAGAGAGAACAGAACAAAAAATTATCTCAAGAACCCTTCTCGCAACACGTACGATTGAATACTTGTTACCATTAAATTTGTCAATTGTTTCGCTTCGACGACAACTGATCGAAAGAATCGATTAAAACAATATTTCGTAATTGCGCGACATGTAATTTTCAATTTACAGCTAACATGATTCCTCGAAGTGGAAAGTGTTCCTTAAATTCGTGACGTACGATCGACTAAGAAGTTATATATGACATGAGGAAGGTGCCAAGCAAACGCAGCCTCGCGAAATTGCCACGCTCGCGGCTGCCGCAGAAGCCGTACGGGTTCTGCTGCGAGGAGAAGGATCAGGATCCTGAGAAACGCTACGACATGCGAAACCCGCCGTTCGCGTCATCCTTGACGAATGTCTTCCTAGGCAGCGGCGGGCCCGGGGTGAAGTTTCGCGTACAGGACATCGGGCCGCCGCCGTATCCCATTCAGCGCAGAATCCTCGAGGCCAAAGGCAGAGCTTATCTGGGACGGTGCAAACGATGCCGGGGTCCCCTACGATGGTACCTGGAGGACGAGATCGCGCTCGCGCGCGAATTCCTCGCTAAGGAGAGACGGGATAATTACAATGCGATTGCGAAAAGGAATCTAATGATCGCCAAACGAAAGGGTGATACTTCACGCACTCAAAATGCGAGGCCAATTGATAATCTCAATTTTTGTCGTCTTTTCCACCGAAGAGCTTTATGTCTTTATAGTTTTTTTTTTTAATATAACGTATTATGTTGCCTTTATATTAATGAAAGTAAAAAAAATGAAAATATGTTAATTATTCTTGTAATATAAACGTAATTGATATTTTTGATATATAATCATTGGTGATACTATTTATATAATTAATTAGTGATATATTTAGTCATGTAATTAAAAAGTATCTTTGATGTATAAAATTGAAAATCATTAATAAGAAATTAATGATTTTCTAAATTAATAAAGCTAGAGAACGCAGCAGTCGTATGAAAAAAAGGAATTTGAAGATCACTTCTTAAGTCACACAGGACAATCAGCAGTTCGATATATAATGTATAAAAAGTACTGGCTCTCTGAAGAAATCCACTGTATACTATAGCGCTGTAACAAAGTGTTTTACAAGGATTAAAATAAATATGAATAATGAAATTTCACTTGTATTTATAAATTGCGAATTAAATGCAGACAAAACGCGGCAGAATATCTTGAAATGTTTATTAGAAAAATATATTTTAGCAGAATACAAATACAAATTTATACAGCTTTGTCTGTCAACTATTATAATCGCAATGTTATACATGTTAATAAAGAATTGTAGGAAGAAACGAGAGAACTACATAATATATGGCATAGGATGCGAAATGAGTTCACAATTCACATTTGATTTTATATATATATATATATATATATATATATATATATATATATATATGCATATATATATATATAATTATAATATGAAAAAAAAATATATATATATATATATATATATATATATATAACATAGTAACGACACAAAAAGCAGCTTTTCTTTCTCTTACGCCACGTTTTAAATAATCATTTTACTATTTTCTTACAATGCTTATAAAGAAATTTCGTTGCACACGATCACACTATCGTTTTGTGTCGTAATTATACGAATTTATCGCAAAAGTAACAATTTGTAGATATATTTGTTATTGCTTTTAGAATCGTGCATTTGTTGGGGACAAAAAAAATAATCGATGCACTATTTTACTTCTAAGAAATAGTATTAAAAATTGCAAACATTTGATTATGTAATAATTATCAAATACGTACGTCAAAGAAGTAAAATTTTAGTTTGCTTATATTGGTGGGATATATCAAAAAGCAGAGATGTATGAATAATATAATTACAATAAAGTTAATAATATAATTACAAGTCTAAAAAGGAAATTATCTCAAACTGAAAACAAGAAATTGAAAAAATATCGAATTAATCAGATTATAATTCGAAAGAAATGTGAAGAACATTAAGAATATATAATCATATTATATGAGTTATTAAATCTAAAAGCAACGTAAATAATATGATTAATTAATCTTTAGTAACGTGTATATTGTAACAACAGTATGTAGCCAATTTATAAGAAATGCGGCATATTTGTGTCGTTTGTAAAATAGAAAAGAGAAAAACTGAACAATTATCGTACAACACATCATATGTACGGCTATACCCTTTCTTTCTTAAATATATATATATATATATATATATATATATATATATAATATATGTATATTTATGTAAACATAATATGAAAACGGTAAATAAAAATGATCCTTTGGAAAAACTACATTATATAAGTTCGCATTCTTATACTGCAAGTTTATATATACGTACATATAATGCGTATGTGCATACAAATTTGCAATACGTTATTTGCTATGTTATAAAATTATTTAGCGTATTTAGGAATGTTGTCCTCTACGGAGATACTAAGTACCTCGTCATTCTCGTTTGTGCTGTCGAGGATTGACTGTACATAGGGATTCACGACAGCCGCCACAATTTTCTCCGAATGTGACGTCTTTGGTGTCACAGAACGTTTCGTTTCCGTATTAGATGACTCGCCTTCAGAGACACGTTCCAGTACATCCTTGTCCTCCGATCGTTTTTCTGAGTGACTACATCGCTCAACTGGGTCAGTCTTAATTACGGGCGACAATTTCGCCAGACAAGTTGATCCAGAGGAAGAATCGTTGCTCATGTCTGTGTTCTCAGATTGGGTCTCCAAACCATTATTAAATGTACTTTCAGGAATGGTCTCGTACGTTGGTGGACTTTGCCTCTGAATCTGCTCGAGATTTATTTCTTTCGGCAAAGACGATACTATTTCTAAAATTTCGCATTTTGAAGACTCGTCTGCATCAGATTCCATCTTATCGCGCACTTCCTCCTCCTTGTCCTGACTAGCATCAAGTTGCACGTCCTGAGGCTGTAACTTAGTCGTTATAGATAAAATTTTTATCGATTTCTCGATGTCTGTTTCTGTATTTATCGTTTCTAAAATCTGTACATCCGAAGATTGACTTATATCTATAGACTGTATTTGAGAATGTAGTTCTCGTTGTTCACTCCCTTCGGTTTGAGTATTCTGTTGCGTCTCATTTGCGTTTGATAAATTTGCATCATCGACTTTTTGCGTTTCTAGATCGTCAGTGGCGTCTCTTATCATATTCTCAATTATTTCATCAACGCTAAGTTCTGTTATAATAGACGAAGATGCTTTAAGACACGGGTCAATCGAAGTACTTGCACTAGAAATTGTTTCATTTATGACATCCTTATTCGTTTCGGTTGCGCTGATATTCTCTCTCGCTCTTGAAGTACATTCAGCTAAAATTTCAGCTACAATTTCACAAGAGTCGTCTATGTTCTCTTTTATTTGTTGGGCTTCGCTAGATTTGGATTCTTCATTTATATCAGAATTTCCAATTCCATTAAACACTGCTTCATTAATTTCAAGCTTCTCCATCTGGTCAACACAATCCAGTTGAGCTATCTTACTCAAATTTGAAGTTTCTTCATCCTCATTTACTTGTTGATTCTCGTGAAGCACTGTTTCTTGTTGTTTTTCATTTATTGGTTGACTCTCGTGAAGCACTGTTTTTTGCTGTTTTTCCGTATCAATAGCAGTGTTTTCAACTTCCGTTTCGGTTACTTCTTCCATTTTTGGAACGTTTTCGCATTCTGATAGAAGATCAATGACATTCGTCCCGTTTAGACTTAATCGAACCAGCATCGGGTCGTTTTCGTTGAGAGTCGCAAACTGGAACATCGTGGCTCCTTCAGCGGCGAGTTCCTTGAACTTA